ACAATATATATTTTTGAAAGCATTCTTACTTTACAGCATTTTTCACACCTGCCTAAAACTTCTGCACAGTACTCTAAGTATTCAAAGTTTCTATGTAAAACACAATTCTAGTTCACAGAGCAATTCAGTATAGTGTGTTTATGTACTATACCAAAGAAACTGGAACAATTTATATCATTAAGCAGGCTTACTTGTACTCACTCAAGCAAGTACAAGGACCCATTTTTAAAATTATCTTATTAAACATTTCTCCATACTACCTTAAACTGTTCTGTTGCATTCCTTACCCACAGCCCACATTTTCAATACTCTCAGAATCCAAAATGCTAGAACATTAATCTTTTTATTATAACTCAAAATCGTGATGTGGTCAAATATCTCCATACACTGAACTTCCTTGTGCTTTAATCCATGACTATATTTTGTTTACTTCTTGAAGAATTATCAGTATAACTTTCATTACAAAATTAATTTAATGCAATTTCCATTACAAAATTAAGCCCAACATCGGATTTGTTTCCTGTATGTCACTGCAGACCTTAGGCAAAGCCTTGGTAAAATCAGATTTGTCATTAGGTTAAAAAAAAAATCTCTTGCAGGCAGCAGAGCCAAAAATGTTTGCTATGGACTTTCAACAATGAGATTGAGATGGTGATAGAAATAGAATTGCTCATTAACTTCTATCTGACTCAGCAGCAGATTCATTTGAGATAATATATGTTTCTATTTGGTACCATGTTGGTTCACCATATTTTATTTATTTATTTATTGTTTATATGTCTATATCACTATATTCCACAAGGATGCATGGCTGTTAACAATCAAAACCAACAATCATTAATAAAATAATCAGTAATTTGGGACTGCCTCTCCACCATGCTCTAACTGCCCCCTTGGAAACAACCTATGGAACTGAGGCAGCTTAACTTAGAATGCATCCAGACAACCATTTTAATTTATTTGATTTTGGTGCCACCCAACTCTGGTGACTCACAATGCAACAAAAAAATATAAACTACAACACAATTCAAAAACATCACCAGCAAAAAAAAACCAAATAAGTAAAAGCAGATAAAAAACGAGATGGTAAATCCACCCAACAGAACTCAGGTGGCTGGAGCACCTTGTAAGTTCTTTTGTTGGCTGGATTTACCATCTTGTCCAAGACCAGGTTTTCAAGGCCCTCCAAAGTGCTATCAGGGTGGGAGCCACCCAGTTTGCATTTAATGATTTCTTCCTACTCCCTACTACTATTTAATATGCTTTTCTCCAATTTGTGAGATGGCACAAAACTATGCCAGCATAATTCGCTCTGTTCCAAGAGCTAATCTCTGTTCTGCCTTATAATTAGGCTGGCGAGCAGTGCTGCCTTTACAGGTTTAACATGGAACAAGTTATGGGCAGCATTTGGTGGCTGCACTTCCTACACCACCAATGTTTCTGCTCCACCTGTTGAATAGGGAACGCAACCACCAGTCACTCTCCTCAACCCTGTAGTGCAGTAGAACTGGGTGATGGGAACCTACCAATTAGAGACCAGGCACTCTTCCTTCATCAAAAACTATTATAACCATTAAGACAGTTTAATGGTCATATTTAAAACAAAGTAAAAGTTCTGTACTATCCTTCAAGTTGCCTAAATGATAGGCGGCCAGCAGACAGGTGCTCTGCAACAATGGCTTGTTACCTGGGTTAGCTCTGAACACGTCTACCATTATTCTGGGAGAATGGTATATATATGTAAAAAAAAAAAACAACAACCCAAGAAACAGGTTGACAGGTCACTGGCATGGTGGAGGGGTATGGGAAAAAGCAGGATATAACACAAAATAGTTTCAGGTGAAACGTGTTCTGTTTCACCCAAAAACTCACTCACTCACTCTCTCTCTCTATATATATATATATAGTGGAGTGCATTAGGAACAGCACTGCACATTGATCTTCATAGCTGTCTGTAAGAAAAGGATGTGTAGAAACCAGGAGACTGTGAGTTCTAGTCCCACCTTAGGTATGAAAGCCACTAGGTGACTTTGAGCCAGTCACTCTTTCTCAGCCCCCAATGTCAGGCTCGGGTGACAAGCCAATCAGTCAATTCCTGTTGCAACCAATGGATCAACATTTGGTTGATCCAGAAAAAAAAGGAGATCCTGCACATGCAGGAAAAACACTAGGAAGAAAAAAAAACTTGCTTTCACCAAGTACTGAACATGTGTTTTCAAACAGGTCTATCACTGTTTCACAAGAGTAGTGAATATATGTTAACAGGAGTTCATGTAAGAACTGATTTACATTTCAGAAAGCACCAGCCAGGCATGATGCAGGCAGCTGCCTGTGGAAGCCAGTTGTCATGTCAACCCAGCTGCACAAACCAACTGACCATGGAGGGTTATGCGCAGCAACCATACCAGTTAAGGTATGCACCTGTAGCTGAAAGCAGCCAGTAGGAACTGGGCAGATCTTAGTTCCTGGCTGTGGCATCACCACAATTGCTGCCAGTATGCCTGTATACCTTCTCCCACAATTCCTACTGTATTCTCTCACACCCCTGGGGACAGTCTTTTCTAAGCATTTTTCCCCAAAGAAATCTTCTCTGATGCTGAATTATTTGGGAATAGGTGAAATGGAGACCTCCTCTCTGCCTTTTCATAGCTTAAGCAAAAAAGAAAATATATGATCCTTTGAGAATGAGTGTGCTAATTTAGTAAGAATGTGTTGCAGCCCAATGGCTATGCCCCAGCAGGAATATACAACATATACACATATATAAAATATAGGCAGAACAAATAGAACAAAGTACAGCAAAGGCACACAGCTCAAATAATTTTCTATAAAATACTGCCCTCCCCCAAGGCTTGATCTGCATCTAGTGCCATCATTCCCTACATTGCAATATTTTTCTTGGATTTATAATCCAGATTTCTGGGGTTTGGGATGCTACTTATCTGGTTCTGAGCAGCCCAGGAAGAGATGCTCCAGCTCCTCCCATGAGAAAAAAGGTGAAACAAAACCAAAATGCAGCTGCCTCTTCCTCTTTTAAAAATCCAACTCAGAGTAGAATCTTCCCATCCCCAATTGGCTCTTTAGTGTTTGATTTCTCTTGAGCTTTGATTGTCTCCCATTACCCTGACTGACATGTTAGATTTAACTGATAGATCAGGTTTAGGTTTTCATTATTTTATGTGTGAACTTATTGTCTGAACTTTCTTGTCAGACAATATAGCCAAAAACTATGTATACAGCAAGGATTGTGAGGGGAGAAGGTGGACAACCCTACTTTAATCTTAGATCAGCTAAATACAAAGTTATGCAGCCATAGCTATGGGCTAGGGAAGAGATGAAGGCAGCATCATGAGAACATGACCTTAAAGAACAATTAGCGAGGCATTTTTGAGCTGCCATTAGGGGGATGTATAGATGAGTCCTTAGATTCTAATTTTTATTTTTCCTCTTGGCCTGCTCCTCTAGCAACATGTTTTTGAGTGATGAGAGAACACTAAAGTTACACACTTAATACTTTTTCATATATTACAGAAAGTATAGATTTTGCTCTATGTTATCCAGACTGTGATCTTCAAAAGGATGACATTAGGGATGAATGAAATACTTGTGCTATTTCTGGGAGGCAGTCCAATGAAATTGCTGAGATATTTTCTCTCAACATCTCATTACTGCTCACAGAACTCCTCAGCATCTACACATAAACATTTGGAAGTATCAATCTAGCATATGTCTTCCTAATTTATTTCTTGGAGATAAATCACACATTTTTCTGCCTTTATATAATCTGATCCTTGAATACATACAGAGCCAACTAAATTATACAGGGTACATGCACCTGAATTGGACAATATATTCCATACCTAATCTCCTCATTGATGGCATCCAGTTGTTCCTGCAGCATCATGGCAAGAGTCTGGGCATCAGAGTGACCACTGGGAGACAGCATGTCCATAGAGCTGAAGACTGTCTCTTGGTCATCTTCATCAACATCAGAGATCTCTGGGTCACTGTCAAAAGTGTGGGCTGGAGTACTCAGGATGCCACTTGGTTGGCCATGCTCCCAATCCTGGACACATAAAATCACAAGACACCCTATGTAAGGCATGATTCCCCCATAACTGCAATGTCAATATCACCATCTTGCTGAAATATCAACAGATAGAAGCCATTTCTTTCTGCTGGGGTCTGAAATGACAGATTGTCATATACATAGTTTAAACAATCCCACTGTTTCAGCTAAGCAAACAAGAAAAATCCTGCTGAGAACAAGGTGTTAAGAAGGTAATTTGGTCCTCTGAGAATCACCTGTATTTGAAAGGAATGCATAACATACAGTGCAGGCCTTCAGATTGGTGCCAAGCAAAAGAGTGAGTCTATGCAAGAGATGTAATTTCTACATTACTCATTCCCTACTGTATCTTTTCCCCTCTCCCTAGCCTTATGAACTTGGCTTGATTGCTTGTTATCATTAGCTAGAGAATGGTCAGATACATAGACACCCACCAAGAAAGAAACAAAATAGGGAAAATTAATAGTTCTTCAGTGCTTCAGATATTTGAGTACAGATTAGGGTACTCAATTAGGGATTCTGGGTTAGCAAAACAGCTGCATTTAACTCATAATGAACTAAAGGAAGCTATCTTGTGCAACATTAGGAAAAAGGGTCTTCATTTTAGTGCTTTAAGTGTTTTATGCAAAAACAACTAATAGTATTCACTATACTATACTACAGATATACAAACAGCAAAACAATAAACCTCGGCAATCTGGATAAGAGAATATTGGGTTTCTTATTCAACTGTTAGCAAGCAGGTAACTGGCTTTCAGATTAAACCAAGAATCTCAGTTCTTAAATAATAAGCTTGGATTCTGGGTAGGCAACCTCATCCACTCCAGATGTTCTGGATTGCTTATCTCACAATCTCTCACAATTTGCTTTATAGGGTGGGAATGATAGAAGCGGATGTTCAAAAAACTGGAGGATACTAATTTTCTTCTATCAGAGTGATTGTGGAGGAGTATGGAGATGGCCTTGAAGAAGGAGTTCAATAACCTTTATGTAAACATCAGCTTAGCCTGGATAGATGGAAGAAGGTGATGACAAACTCAAGACTGCCTTACCTTGATTCTCTTTAGTGTAAGAGAGGAGAGAGAAAATCTTTGTCAGGCTTTCAAGATTCTGCTATTATACCCTATAACAATAAAGTTCATGTGGCATCTGTTTCCTGACCTGGTCTGGCTCAAAGGGCAGACACTGATCCACTATTAAATTTACAACTGCCTGATCTTATACCAGATTTACTAGCCCTATACAGAATTTTAATGATTTACATTAGAGTTTAAGAAATTGATCACCCTTTATTCTGCAGCCGATTGACCCTTTCAACTCTCAAGATTTATAGAAAGCAGTTTGGAAATATACTTACTAAATAAATAGATAAATGTACTTGGTGTCTGGAGTTCCATGAAAAATATTTCCCTGATAAAAAGAACTTAAGGAAATTGCTAATATATTTGTTACCATATTGAGTAACCTGGATAGAGGAATGACTTAATTACACTGATTAAAAAATAGGGAAAAAAGGAATGATCTTTGAACTTATTGTTTCAAAGGAGCACACTGAACAGATACCTATTTGTTTCAATATGCAATTTTACACAAAGTGAGCAATTCTCATTTAAGCAGTTCACTAATCCCCAAATATGGATTTAAAAATGCATATACTGCCAGTTCAAATCTCTAATGTGGCTGATAAAAATAATTAGAAAATAAAATATAAGAAAATAAATAGCAACACCAGATCCCAACCAAGTAATGAAATACAAGAGCTGCTTCTTTCTTTTCCAGATTTCACAGTATTGCAAAGATTCTTTGAAATTTCATCTTACCACCTTCTGTACAAGCCCAACATAAGTACTGTCCTGGCCACCATTCAGCGAAGTGGCCTTTCTGCACAACAGGGAGTCTCTTTCCTTTGGAGGGGTTTAGGTTTGCAGCTGTTACTGCCAAGTGAAAAGCCACCCCCCCCATTTTAAAAGCACAAGACAGCTGTTGCAGCTGTTGCCAATACAAAGATTTTATGATGTACTCCAAGATGCAGAGTAACTGGAGCTGCCCCCTAGAGATTTGTTGAAGCAAGGCAAACATCAGGAGTTTTACCTTGGAGGGTTCTTCCTGAAGAGCTACAAAACGACTCTTTGGTGCCCGATGAAGACTGGAAGGTGTTGCAAAGGGGTCTGGGGATGGATGGACCATAGTACTCAGGGGATATCTGAGATCAGGAGTACTTCCGACAAGGGACCTATTAAAAATTAAAGTGAAGAAAATACTTGCTTTAAAGAAATAACTAAAGTTATATTGTTTAAAGTTTAGTTTTCTATAGAGAAATCCTGAAATTAAATACATTTAATATGATTTTTCTGATCTTCTGTCAATATCCTAAAATATTGTATAGATATATAGCCAGAGAACATGCATTGAAAGTCACAGGGCAGGAGGGGTCCCTTATTTTTTCTGGCTAGTGAGCAGATTTGGGGGGGGGGGGTCTGGCTAATAAATAATTCTAGAGCAGTTTTAAGTTACTATAACTATGCTATAGATATTCTTACATAAAGGTTGCCATGGTGAGTGTGTCCAATCACAACCTCCCCTCCCCACATACCAAAGGGCAATAAAACAGTGGGCCTTTCATTGTCTATGAATATTCTGGTTTAATTCAGGGCCACAATGATCAGGCGTTTCTGGGGGGTGGTTAGTATTTTCCAAAAGTAAATCTCTTAGAACAGTACAGAATGTCTGTAAGCTACCAGACCAGCTTGGTACAGATAGATTACTATTGTTGTTGTTGTTTAGTCGTTAAGTCGTGTCCGACTCTTCGTGACCCCATGAACCA